CTGGGATTAAAAAGGGTTGGGAAAGTTGTTTCTGTAGTGTTTGACTTTTCATGACCCCATTTTGGGGTTTCTTGGCAAAGATACTGGAGTAGTTTGGCATTTTCTTTTCTTTCTCATTTTACATAGGAGAAACAGGCAAACAGGGTTAAGTGACTTGCCCAGGATCAGACAGCTAGTAGCTAGTAAGTTTCTGAGGCTGGATTTGAATTCATGAAGATGAATCTTCCTGATTCCAAGCTCAGTGCTCCATCCTCTGTGCCACCTCAGTGCCCCCAAGGGATGGGAAAGACTTCTTGTAAATTCCTGGAGCTGAGAGATGGAGTGCCTTGTTCGAGGAATAGCCAGGAGGTCAGTGTCATTGGATCAAAGGGTTTGTGTTGAGGAATAAGGTGCAAGAAGACTGGAAAGGTAGGTGGCTAGGTATGATGGCCTGTGGATGCCAGACAGCATTTTGTTTTTGATCCTGGAGGTAATAAGAAGCCACTGGAGTTTATTGAATAGGGATGTATGTGACATGGTTGTATCTACACTTTAGGAAAATCATTTTAGGGGCTGAATGGAGAATGGACTTTAGTAGAGACAGACTTGAAGCAGGCAGACACACCATCAGGCTATTGCCATAATCCAGATGTGAGGTGATGAGGACCTGCAGTGTATGAGGACAAAATGGGGTGTAATGGAGAGATACTGCAGCGTTGAAATCATCAGGCTTTCACAACAGCTTGGATATGGGGGGTTGAGAGATAGTGAAGAGTCCAATATGAGTCCTAGATTTGGAGCCTGAGGGACTGAGAAGATGGTGGTGTCCTCTACAGCAATAGGAAAGGTAGGAGGTGGGGGAGTGTTGAGTGATTTTACTATTTTTGTATTTCTGAAAGCCAATCTATAGTTCTAACTAAACTGCTTGGGTGTGGATATAAAATACATACCTCTGAGTCGTATGGTACTGGGGACACTTGGATTATTAGTATTATATTTTCAGGACTGAAAGTGGTAGTCTCCAGATCCCCTCCCGTCTAGGACTGTGCTGGAGCCTATTCCTACGATCTCCCTGATTGTTAGTTTTCAGTGTGAGCATTTATACTTTGGAAATTAGCAAATACTATAAATCAGGGCTTGATTTTATTGTTTTGTTGATTGTCTAGATTCAAAAAAAATGAAGAAAATGTTAATAATGCTCATTAAGCTTAAAAGTATGTCATGTGAACATTTTTTTTTTTGGGAGACCCAGTTGTTAAACATTTATCAGCACGCTACTGCCTACCTCTCACTTTGCTGCTGATGGAAAAAGAAACACTGTGGTATATCAGTTCCTCAGGTGCATAATGAGTTGAGTGACTCTTGGATTTCTCTTTTGTTTCTTCTTGACCTATCATGGTCAGCCCTTCATGCTCATAGGAGAAGAGATAGGAATAATAAAGCCATTACCTGTTTCCTTCCTTTCCTTACTGTAGACTCCAACCACTTTCTCTAGAGAGCTTCCATTAGCTTTAAATAATGGGCTTTGAAAATACACCTGTAAATTGTAAGCAATCCTACAGGTCAGAGGTGCTTGAGAATTATTAAAAGATGAACTTATTGAAAATGTGATAGGAAATTGTTTAGGTAGCTGAAGAAGGACAAAGCCATAAAAACAACAAAACATTTGTAGAAAACAAAAAGACAGCCTTTGCCTTTTTTTTTTCACTAAAATGTTAAAGAATATTATATTCTTTCATTTCATGGAAATAATGCTATTGTATTTTGACTTTCAAATTTACCCTATCTTGTGGGTGATTTTTTTTTTTTTGTATTATAAACTTTTTAATTGTATTTGAATTTTTTTGGAAAGGATCCATGTCTGTAAGAAAAACCTACTCTGCGTATTATAATTAAAAAGAAAAATTTACCAGTGCTGAAATATTCTTTAGTTGCCTTGACAACTAGCCAGATATCATTTAGAAGGCCTCAGCATTTCATTTTAAAAAGAAAATAAATTTTCCCTTGTCCTGTTTTTTTATGTGTCCCAAACTTAATTTTTTTCATCATTTTCAATATTTGAAGATCAATAAGGTTATTTTTCTTGTAATCTGCTTAAATTTTGGCCATACTCCTACTAGATAAAGAGGGATTCCCCCTGACTACTCTCTCTCACTTCAGCTCTCTGCTGAGCTATGAACTCGATTGGGAAATTCTGTATAGAAAGATCTTTGTCTTATTTGTCTTCATAGCTTTTCCAATACCTAGCACAGTGCTTTTGTCCCTATACATAGGGACATAGATCTCATTCTGATTTATTTTTGAATAGAATTTTATTTTTTCCAATTACATGTAAAAATAGTTTTCAACATTAATTTTTTATGAGATTTTGAGTTCCAAATTTTTCTCCCTTCCTCCTTCCCCAAGACAGCAAGTAATCTGAGATATAGGTTATACATGTGCAATCACGTTAAACATATTTTCACATTAGTCACGTTGTGAAAGAAGAAATAAAACAAAAGGAAAAAACTGCAAAGAAAAAAAATTTAAAAAGTGAAAAATAGTATGCTGTGCTCTGCATTCGGATTCCATAGATCTTTCCTTGGATGTAGATAGCATTTTCCATCATGAGTCTTTTGGAATTATCTTGGATCATTGTAATGTGGAGAACAGCTAAGTCTATCATAGTTGATTATCGCACAGTGTTGTCACTGTGTACAATGTTCTCCTGGTTTTACTCACTTCACTTGGCATCAGTTCATGTAAGTCTTTCTAGGTTTTTCTGAAATCCACTTCCTCATCATTTCTTATAACACCATAGTATTCCATTACATTCATATACCTCAACTTGTTCAGCCATTCTCCAGTTGATGAGCATTCCCTCAATTTCCAATTCTTTGCTACCACAAAAAGAGCTGCTATAAATATTTTTGTATATGTAGGTCCTTTTTCCCTTTCTTATGACCTTTTTGGGATACAGACCTATGCTAGATCAAAGGGTATGCACAGTTTGATTGCACTTTGGGCATAGTTCCAAATTGCTTTCCAGAATTGTTGAATCAGTTCACAATTCCACCAGCAATGCATTAGTGTCCCAATTTTCCCACATCTTCTATAACATGTATCATTTTCCTGTTTTGTCATGTTAGCCAATCTGATAGGTGTGAGGTGGTACCTCAGAATTGTTTTAATTTGCATTTCTCTAACCAATAATTATTTAGAGCATTTTTTCATATGACTTTAGATTGCTTTAATTTTTTTCATCTGAAAACTGTTCATATCCTTTGACCATTTATCAATTGGGGAATGACTTGTATTCTAATAAATTTGACTCAGTTATCTATATATTTGAGAAATGAGGCCTTTATCAGAAATATTTGCTGTAAAAATTGTTTTCCAGCTTTCTGCTTTCCTTTTAATCTTGAATGTATTGGTTTTGTTTGTGCAAAAATTTTTTAATTGAATTAATCAAAATTATACCATTTTGTACTTCATAATGCTGTCTATCTCTTATTTGGTCATAAATTCTTCCCTTCTCTAAAGCATAGATCTCATTCTATATAAAGGTAATCTACAGTTAAAATTCTAGTTAAAACTCACCTAAAACTTGAGTTTGCTTGTGGCTACTAAGTAATCAACAGAAGTTTCAGTCATGATAGATTTCAATAACCTCTTTACATTCTCTTTTTGTTCTGTGACCCAGACTTCTTTTTGCACTTGAAATTCTTGTGTTTTTATATAACTGATTATTTTTCAAGGACCTTTTTCTAATGTACTTTTAAAATATATTTAATCCTAATGCCAACAGTGAATTTAATTACGTCACATCAGGAGGCATTTTTGAATTAAGGCTTAATTTGAGTTGCTGTTTGTTTAATGCTTTTGGAGAGAAAGAACTGGGAAACAGTGCAAAGCTGTAGGAGTCAAGAACATTTTCATGCATAGACTTTAGGTTTGAAATAAAATCTGACAAATTGAAATGAAAATGAAATTAATATTTTGAAAGTGGCTCATGAAGGCTTTTGTTGATTCAGATGAAGAGATAAGGAGTAGGAGAGATTGTGTATCTGGCCAAACTATTAAAAAAAGCCAAAATCCTGGATTTCAGTCTCCTTCATAGATGCTACTTTTTAGAGTTTATGAATTTAAGACTATGTACGGTGGCTTTGTAAAGAGTGAAAAATAAGATGATTTAAATTCCTATTTCTGTGGTGGGGCCCATGGGAAAAATAATATATGATAATTCTAATTTAAAATTTACAATTAACATAATATTACTAGCAGAACTAGACTTTTACTACAGATGCCAATAAATGTGGATGTAAAATAAAATATCATGTTGATTTCTCTCTAGAAGAAATTCATCTAAAGAAATCAGTGTTTGCCAAATGGAAAAAAAAAAGCTGAATAAGTAAAATGTTATCTATGAATCATAATTTAAAAAAAAGAATTTCAATGAAGAAAAGTTAATCTTGTTTCTTTCCATGACTTATCCTGTTTCTAATACAGTTTTCATCATCTTATGATATAATATTTCTTGTAATTAAGGGTATTAAGCAAATGTTCTGATGATTTGATGCCAACCTATATTCCATTTGATTTAAAATATTTGTAAGACTAATGTGGTACTTTTATTGTTTATCTCTGTGTTGAAATAATGCCTGACTTCACTAAATTCTGATCTCTCAGGGAGTACTTAGCTCCTTAAATAAATAACTAATTGGTAAAGATTTTGTGTTATGAATAATATTGAAGGAGTGTAATCTGCATTTTGAATTTGTAGAAGTAATATTGAGATAATTTATAGTTAATTGAACATTCTAAATAAATATTATAAATATCTAAAGTAAATGTTTGCCCTTTTGCTCACTGGTAGATTTTATTTGTGTCATCCTATTGTAATTGATATTAGTGTGTGTTTACAGTGAAACTTCATTATAACATTCTGTTTTCTGTATCTAATGTAAAAAAACCAAACTTGGGAGATGTAAATAGGTTCCACTGTAGATGGAGTATGCTTTATAAGCCCATGTATTTTTAAGGATGTACAGAAACAGACGAGAGAGAGTTCCTCCTATGGAATATGAGGAAGATTTTCCAGAAAAATCAAATATACGTGTTTCATCGGCTGGAAATAACAGGTATAATATGTAGTTTAATTTTATCTTCATTTTACTGGGGAAAGTGCAACTCCCTGAAAATGACCAACTGGAGAACATATGTATTTATTTGCTTTTTTGGAGGGGGGGGTTGAGGCAATAAGGGTTAAGTGACTTGCCCAGGGTCACACAGCTAGTAAGTGTCAAGTGTCTGAGGCCAGATTTGAACTCAGGTCCTCTTGGAGTCAGGAGGAAATCGTTAAAAACAGCTGTTGGGATAGAGAGGTGAGATTTGCTTTAGAAGGAATATTTATTAGGTCATATCATTTTTTTTCTTTAAAAAATTGCTGTATGTAACTTATATTAAAGACATAAGATAGTATCAGTATTATAAATCCTTCACAACATTTTAGAAATAAGAATCTTGTATCATATGAAATATAAGTTAGTCTGATAGAAATATATTTAAAGTATTTCAGAATTACAGAGAAGCTAAAGATTTCTTTCCAGGCAATCTGATGTGTTCTGTAGAAAAATATATTTTTGTTTTTGTTAAAAAAATTTTTTTTTTGAAGTTTACTGCTTGTATGAAGTAGTATTTTTTTCTCTTCGTGAGTTAGTTCTCAGTACATATGCCTTGCTAAAATGAAAATTTTTTTAGGATTTATCTTTTTTGTACTCATTATAGTTGTGAGTTTCAGTACTTCTAGGAGAAGAAGATGGCTGTACGACTTCTTTCTTTCATATATATGTTTGGTGACCATATTTTCTGGACCAAAAATCAGTACGCATAGGCTCTGAGAAAAGATTTATTTGTAAAGCCTTGTTAAAAGAATCCTTTTTTTTTTTGCCTCTTGTAATTGGGACTTCTATAAAATTGTGGGGTGTATGGTTGTCCTATCCATATGTCATGTATAAGGCCCTAATTTTGAGAACCTACAGATTATACTGAATTTAGTTATTATATTTTGAGATGAATATTTTCCTTTGAGCAAAATAGAATCACAAGATTTTAAATAACATCAGAGAGAAGAAAATGTCCTCTTTTAGTTACAATTAATTCCTCTTTTGAAGGAATCAGATCACAGCTATTTGTGGTTCCTGTGTCCCAGGAAATCTTTTGGAATTATTCTCTTTTCTACATGTGGGGGGAAAAAACACCAATTTTTCTTTTGGTTTATGAGAACTTTACTTGTTAAAATCTTAACTTTCACAGGAAGTTCCTTTGAGTATTTCCTTTTTCAGGGGTGGAATTTTCAGTATGGAGTAGAGCTCTCTGTGAGTTAAGAGCCCTGTACAGGCAAACCTTGCTATTGCTTGTACAAGAGTATGTTACTTTCCTTGTATCCTGCACAGAAACAGAAAAAGAATGCTCATGATTTTATTGTAAATTTGCCAAGATATACTATATTCTACTGACTTTTAAAAATCTGTGAATAAGTGACTTATTCATATTGTATTACAGCATTTTTGCTTGTACGTTATTTGGATTCTGATTAATTTTCATTTTCTACTGTCACCAGTGTGCCCAATAGCCATCTTGCTGATGAACGATCAAAGTCTGCCGCTGTTAAAATTGAGAATCCTTTTACAGGAATGATTTTTGGTATGTATACATTTCCTTACTAATGAGGCCTTTGCAGAAATATTTTGTATTCTGCATTTGAAATATCCATTTTTATGATATCTTAGTATGGCTTGGTCTATGTGAGATTTTAATTAAGCTTTTCTTATTTGTAAGGGAATCACTTTTTATTAGAGTAGTGAAATCTTAGCTTTATGAGAATTTTACAAACTTGTGAGCTAGCTAGGGTAGATATGAAATTGTTATTTATCTTACTTGGTTTTTTTAAATGCAGTAATTTTATGTGTTTTTAAGATTTAGTCACCATGCTCTTTTTGTGTTTTAGTGCCCTATTTTTTTTTTTTCAGATGAGTCAGGATTACTTTTGGGCTCATAGAAAATAATCGAAAAGAATGTTTGATCAGATTTTCTTATTACTTTTAGGGGCAGTTTTGCTAAGCAATGATTATGTAATAAATAGGGCATTAACAAACAGGGCACATGCATACAACTTAGCTGTCCTAATGAAATTTATTGATGGGTATATTTGTAGCCAATAGTGGTTGCCACCCAGGTGTAAGGAGGAGGTGAAATGAAATTTTCACGGCCTGAGACTTTAGATGTTCAGGGTCTCAGATTGGTCAGGGTGGGGAAAAAGGGGGCAGGGAAAGACCAGTAGCTCCCCCCAAATTGAGGTCTCAGGTAGGGTTGCAAGGCCAGAAGTAGCTTTCTGTCAAATCTCTAGTCAGTGCAGAGGCTCTCTCTCAGAAGAACTAGTTGTGGGAGGAGACAAGGGTGCCAGCATCTGTGTTAACTTCCCCTTCCCCACCACCCCCTGCCAGTAGCAGCATCCTGAGGGGTTAGAATCGCCAGGTTTTAGGAATAAACAATTTTCAGCTTTTAGCTCTTAAAAGCTTTTCTTTTATATATATATATATATATATATAAAGGTCCTATCTCTGATATATTTTGAAAGGATTTCAGTTTTCTAGTTCCCAGGATTCTAGGGCAGTATTTGAAAGAATGGGATGATGAGAGTGAGATTTGAGGGCTCATCTTTGTTGTCTTTGCTTGAGATAGAGAAATCTTTTATCTATAAAAATAGGGTGCTACAAGGAAAATAGTGCACTTGGGCAGACCCGAACATCATCACACTTTTGGAAATAGGGAGAGTTCTTTCCAATAGTTTAGGGATATAAGTTAAAATAACAAAATTTTATAAGTAGAAAAGAAAGTATGCTAAGGAATTAAAAAAAATTTTTTTGATGGATTGATAACTAGTTTGACCAATGCCAAAGGGGAACCACCCTGAGGCTTGTTTCATAAAAGGAGAAGAGTGAGGTCTTTGGTCTAAGGAGTTACAGCTTTCCCTTTGGACTCTCTATATGACTGCTGACCCAGATAGGAGTTTAGGGGAGAACCCTGTAAATATTTGTGCAGATGTGTGGTTATCTGAGTAGAACAGATAAGGTTCTTGGTCCTTTTCTCTGTGCAGAGAGTGAATGACAACCTTTTTCTAGAGTCCGCCCATTTGATTTCTAGGTAGCTAGTTCAGTGTTGAATATAAATGTGTAGGAATAGAACTCAGGAGGGAGATGTGGGATGGATATGAAGAGATCATAGGGCAATTACAGTTGAAAAAGGCTCGTGGGACTTTATCTGAACTTAGAAGAAAGTGTATGAGTTATATAATGTGGAAAGAAGAAAAGAGGGCATTTGAAGGAGACAAAATAATACAAGCAAAAGCACATGTGTTGGAATGTATGTGGCTGTATTTTTGTTGTTCAGTCATTTAGTAGTGTCCTACTTTTTGTGACCCTGTAAGGGTTTTCTTGGCAAAGATGCTAAGTGGTTTGCCTTTTCCTTCTCCAGCTCATTTTATTGATGAGGAAATTGAGGCAAACAAGGTTAAGTGACTTGCCCAGGGTCACACAGCTAGTAAAAGTATCTGAGGTAATTTTTGAATTCAGGTCTTCCCGACTCCAGGCCCGGTGTTCCATCCACCGAGTCAGTTATCTGCCCCTGGTGATAAAATGCTAGGCCTTGCTTATTGTGAAGACAAATTGTAATTTTATAGTTACTGTAAATATAGAGCATGTATAGACTGGGCTCACATTTTTTCAAAGTTAATTTAAAAATTAAATCCCTGATATCACTTTGCTTAATTGTTATTAAAGCTGAGTGTAAAATATAGTTTGGCACTCTAAGCTTTCTGGTTGTTTGAATTCTGGATAAATCAGATTTTCTTGTAACTGCTTTAGCCTTTCCTACTATAGTTGTTAATAACAATTATAGTTGTTAATATGAATGGAATTAAATGCTTTTATATTTATAAAGGGCTTAGTACATAAATAATATAAATATTAACTATTATTATGATTATTATTGTCATCAAAAACTTATGGTATATGTTATAAGGGTTATAATATAAATATAAAACAATCTGTTTTCTAAAAGAACTTTCAGTTTTATTGGGGAAAAATAGACACTGTACAATATATGTTTTCTAAATGGAAGTGTACACCAAAAATTACAGACAGTGCTCGTTACAGAGATTTCAGAGGAGAGATATAGCGCTTTAGTACAGATATCCAGGGAAAGTTTTAAGGAAAAAGTGAGGCTATGGTTGGGCCTACATGAATTGGTAGGATTTGGATCAATGGGGGAGTTAACATTCTCTGACATTCTAAGTGGAGGAAATACTTTTGAAACAGAAGTGTGGCACAGAGATTAGGTTGATCAGAGAGGAGAGTAACAGTTATTCTGTGAAGTTGATTAGTAGTGAGAGATAACATTGGGTAGGTATAGTGGGAGTTAGGATGAAATCTTATATGTGAATTAGTGGGAAATAGGGAACTTTTTTGTTTGTTTGTTTGGGTAGGTATAGTGGGAGTTAGGATGAAATCTTATATGTGAATTAGTGGGAAATAGGGAACTTTTTTGTTTGTTTGTTTGTTTGTTTGTCTTTTGGTAAGGCAATTGGGGTTAAGTGACTTGCTCGAGGTCACACAGCTAGTTCATGTCAAGGGTTTGGTCTGAGGCCAGATTTGAACTCAGGTCCTCCTGACTTCAGGGCTGGTGCTCTATCTACTACACCACCTAGCTGCCCCCAAATAGGGAACTTTTGTAGACACAAATTAAATATTCTCTTCCTCAGTTAATTTATGTAGGTAGAAAAGATATGCACATATGTGAATATATTCAAAAATACATACAAAACAAGAATAAGTTAATCTTGGGAGGGTAGGGAGAGACTGAAGATCAGTGATGTAGAAAGTATTTTAGTGGGGACAGTGAGCCAGAATGGGCAGGAGGGGGTTGGATCCAAGAGGAGATGTAGACAAATTAACTTTATAGATAGAAGATAATCTTTATTAAGGATTGGACTAAAGGAAGAATTAATGGAAGATGATGTTATGAGTTTATGAGATGAGACAAGAAGAGGGAGCTCATAGTGAATGGTTTCCATTTTCTTGGGGAAGTATAAAGCCAGATCTTTACTTGAGAGGCTAAGGGGAAGGTGGATAGAGGAGAGAAGAGAAATTTGGAACAGCTATTGTATTGAGAGGAATAGAGAATTATTTAAGTTTCCAGTTATATTAGTTCTTTAAGTTTTATCATTACATTTGTTTAACCTCTAGCAAGTCAAGATCGAGATACTGTCCGGAGAAGGAAAGAAAAATACAGACAAGAACTGTTGGAACAAATAGCTCAGCAGCAGAAGAATAAAAGAAGGTAATTGAAAATCTTCCATTTTTCTGAATCAAAATATTAACAAGAAATAACTTATTCTGTGGTTTGTTGAGGAAAAAACCAACATATAACTGGAAATCAGGGAACCTGGCTTCTGATATTGGCTCTGATACTGATTTGCTTTGTAGATTATAGGATTATAGATTTCAAGTTGGAAGGGACCCTAGGGACCATCTAGTTAGACACTATAATTTTTTAAGTCAAGAATAGAAGGCCGGAGAGGTTAAAAAACTTGCCTACAGTTATGCAGGTTGCCAATAGTTGAGCATAGTTCCTCTAACATGAAGTCCAATGTTCTGTCTTAATGTGTCATGTTACCTTTTAATTTTTTTCTTTTTTGCTTTTTTTTGGTGGGGCAATCGGAGTCAAGTGACTTGTCCAGGGTCACACAGCTAGTTAAGTGTTAAGTGTCTGAGGCTGGATTTGAGCTCAGGTCCTTCTGACTCCAAGGCCAGAGCTCTGTTCGCTGTGCCACCTAGCTGCCCCTCTGTTACCTTTTATACGAGATGCTTATTAGCCTCTGGGTGTCACTTAACTCATTTGGAAAATGATAATGATAGATGAATTGATCTCTTAAGATCTGTTCTAGCTTTAACATTCTCTTATTCTGTGATTTCTTGGGGCTGGAATTGGACTTATTTCACTCCCTGGTGAAGAAACTCCCTCTTCCAATACAGATTTTCATTTACTGGCATTTCTATTACTTGTAGTTTTAGAGAATTGACTAGAATACTAAGAGTTAACCTTTGACTTTCACAACTGTTCCATGTCAGAAGCAGGAAATGAATCCAGGTCTTCTTCCTTTTGAGGCTTACTTTCTAAAGTCTACTACCCAATGGTTACTTCTTTCTGATTCTGTAAATGTAAAATTGTTCTTATAGCTTGGCAGCAATTTGAGCTTGTTTAATTAATGTTATTACCCATTACCATGGCTTTCTTCCCAGATGTGACTTAGCATTATAAAATTACCTGTTTACCATTTTCCAATATGAAAACCAGTCAAGTAATAGTAGGGAGATTACTTAAAAAGAATTTTCTCATTCTTAGTGAATAAAGTAACAGAGGTAAAAATGTGGATATGTATCTATTTTACATAGGTCTTTTAAAGCTTTAGATTATTGTCTTCACATTGTTATTTTCATATAGGTTTTAAAAAATAATATCCACCTATCCATAGTTTCTTTTCTAGGGATAAGCAAAATGGGTTTTATCTTCTTAGACATGAAAAAAGAAATATTATCCACTCTCATTGTTTCATTCTCTTGCCCTCTCTGAGTATCTGGGTATGTATGTTATCTATGCCTATATCTATATCCATAGCTATAGATAGATCATAGATTAGAGCTGGACAGGATTTCAATAGTCATCTTGTCCAGTCTCTTTATTTTATGAATGAGTAGACTAAGATCTTAACTGGATTGTCCCAGGTTGGGAATAATAACAGTGGCAGGATTTGAATAAAAGTCCTCTAACTACAAATTTGACTCTTTCTACTCTGCTCCATGCTGCCTATCAATAATAAGCAATGCTAATAAAAGTTTAAGTACCTATTATGTGTCAGGCACCGTGCTAAGCTCTGGGAATACAAAAAGAGGCAAAAAACAGTCTCTGCCCTCAAAGAGCTCACAATCAAATGGATTACTCTAACATAATCTAATGTTTAATATATTGCAAATACAATAACAAATGGAGAAAACTTATAGTAAATAAACAAGTAGAAAAATTTTTGTATTCCCCAAAGAGTATTTTTCTTATTAAACTTTACTAGAGAATATTTATATTACAGATGATCATTAGTGTTATCAAGCTGTCTGAGTAAGAAAAGCAAATAGAATTTAAGTTTTTATACACACACACACACACACACACACACATATGTGTGTGTGTATATTTTGAGGGGAGGGTCAGGATGGGTGGTGATCTTTGCTTTAAGGAATTTGAGAGCTAATTTTATTCATTCAGTGTTTGTACTTCCTACATTACAAGATGCCTATTTCTGTTGTCCAGGGGTGATTATTAGCGAATAATTATACCTTCTCTTGAATGATTGTTAGAATGATTCTTAGAAGATCAAAGATATCTTTGAATCAGGTTATGTAGAGACTTTTAAAAAAATGTATGGAAGGTATTATAATTAGAAATACTTTATTATGAAGTCACTTTAATTTCAATATATGGTACCTATGCATAGAATTCTTTAGTAGGTTTCCATAGAAGCATATTGAATAAAATGCACACTCTTTAGTCTGGTTTTCAAGGCCATGCCCAGTCTACCTCTCACCTACTAGTTTTACAGCCAAATTTCTCATTGCACATATTCTGTGTTCCGTCCAAGCTGTTCCTTAATCTGAAGCCATTCCTTAATTTACCATTCTTTAATTCAAATCGGTTCTCCTCTGACTCTGGAATTGTATATCCCACTTTCCAGTAGTGGCCTTCCTCTGTAGCTGTAGCTGCTGACATTCTCATCTTCTTTCAAGGTGTACTTCTGGGGCATCCTTTTCGAGGAAGCTTCCCTTTATCCTCAAACTTGGGAGAGTGTAGCCTCGGTCATATCACATGTGGAATATTGTGTTCACTTCTGAGAGTGACATTTGAGAAAAGAAACTGACCGTTTGCAGTGTATCCAGAGGAGGGTTACCATGATGGTGAGGTGACTGTGAATCCAGCCATAAAGTTATTAATTGGAACAAGAGAGCTGTCTTCAATTATTTGAAGGTCTGTCATTGAGAGAGGTATAATACTCGTTCTACCTGGTCTCAGTGGGTAGAATTTGGAGCCTTAGGTAGCGGTTATACAGAAGTAGATTTAAGCTTGGTTGAAGGAAAAATTTCCTTAGAGTTAGAGCTACCCCAAAATGAACAGTCTGCTTTGAGAGGTAGTTTTTCCCTTTCACTCAAGGTATTCCTACAGAGACACTTGGCAGACATGGAATAGAAGACATTCTTCTTCTGATTCAGGTAGGACTAGATGGTCTCTTAGATCCCTTCTAACTCTGGAGATGCTTTGAATTTTCATGCCTCTTTGGCCTTTCCCCAAGCATTGTTCCTAGTCTAACTTTTATTATAGATATTTATGTACTGCATTTCTCTCCTTTCTTCCTGGCTACTCCATCCTATCTGGTTTTTTATGACCCTATTCTTTCTTGGTTCTCCTACCTGTCTGACCACTCTTTAGCCTTCTTTGTTGAATCATCATGCATATTCAGCCCCTTCATTGTGGATAGATCTATGACTCTGTCTTGGGTCCTCTTCTGTCCCCTCTTTTTATTTTTTGGAGACCTCATCAATTCCCATGGGTTCAATTACTCTCTGTATGAAATACTTGTATATCTAATCCTAATCTCTTTCTTTTTCTCCACTTCTGTATCATTAACTGCCTATCAAATTTTTTTTTATTTCCTTTGAAATTCTTCATATTTTATTTGAAACATTTAAAGACACTCTGTGAAGGAGACCGTAGAATTCCCCAGACAACCAAAAAGGTCCATGATACACACAAAAAATCAAGCACTCCTGACATATGTAGTTCACCCTCTGTTTGCAGTACTTCCTATCAGACATTTTTAACTGGATATTGTGTAAATGTTTCAAACTCAACACGAAAACCAGCCTCATCATCTATTCCTCCTTCCCTGCTCTCTATGGCATCCCTATCCTTACAGAAAGGAAGGAAACAAACATTTATTAAGTGCCTACTATGTGCCGAACTATACTCATCACTGAACAATTATAAGCTCTTTTGATCTTCACAACAACCCTAGGAGTTGGGTGCTTTTATTATCCCCATCTTATAGTTGTGTAAACTGAGGCAGACAGCGTAGTTGAAAGACTTGTCTAGGGTTACATAGCTAGTAAGTGTCTGAGGCTGAATATGAACTCAGGTCCTTCTGACCCCAGGCCCAGGGCTCTATCCACTGCTCACCTGTTCCCCAGGTTCATCGACTCAGAGTCATCCTTGACTGTCCACTCTTTCCTAGCCCCAGGTATCCAGTCAGTTGCCAAATCTTTTTGTTTCTGCCTCTGTGAAATCTCTCACCTCCATTTCCTTCTTTCTATTTACATGGTCCCCATCCTATTTCAGGCTTTTATCACCTCTTGTCTGGATTATTTCAGTGGCCTTCTAGTTCTAGCCTTCTCAAGTCTCCTTTCTTCTATCCATCATCCACAGAGCTGTCAAAGTGATATTCCCCAAGTATAGGCTTGATCATGTGACTCCCTCAGTAAATTCCAGTGGCTTTTTCTTATTTCTAGGATCAAATATAAACTCCTTTGTTTGGCATTTTAAGGCCCTTCATACTTGGCTACCTTTCTATGTTTGTTATCTGTTTCTTTGCTTTATGTACTTTCTAGCCAAACTTGCTTTCTTGCTATGCCTTAAATACAACATTGAATCAGGACAGCTGGGTGGCGCAGTGGATAGAGCACCAGCCCTGGAATCAAGAGGACCTGAGTTCAAATCCAGGCTCACACACTTGACACTTAACTAGCTGTATGACCCTGGGCAAGTCACTTAACCCCATTGCCTAGCCCCTCTGCCCTCCCATAAAAATAAATCATTGAATTCCCCATTTCTGAGCCTTTGCCTGGGTTTTTCCGCATACCAAAATATTTGAACTCCTCCCTTCTGCCTCTTGGAATTCCTAGTTTCTTTAAAGTTCAGATCAGATACTGTGCCTCCTCCTTTATGAGACCTTTTCTAATTCTCCTGGCTAGACTCAGTCTTACCTCACCCAGCTCCCAATACATATCGTATCTCTTTTAAAATACAAATTCCTTGAGGGCAGAGACTTCTCCTTTTATAGTTATCCTGTATATACTTACAGATATATACTGGTCTTCCATATTAGAATATATGCTTCTTGAGAGTGGGAGTTGTTTCATTCTTTGTGTTTGCATTTCTAGCACCTAGCACAATGCCTGGTTCATAGTAGACACTTAATAAATGTTTATGGATTAATTAATATCCCTAGGGCATGGTAGTATGTCTGCTACACATTAGACAGGTAGGAAATGTTTATTGAGTGATTGATTGGTCCCTACTAGTTTCTTGAGGGTCCAGGGCATAGTCTTTGTAGGGCTGTGTCTTGAATAGAGTAGGCACTTGATACATGCTGGATTATAAAGAATTAAATTCTGTATTGTTCATTCTTCTTTGCAAAGGGAGAATGGAAGTTTTCAAAAAATGAAATAGGTTTTTTCCTTCATGAATATAGAGGATATTTTTTTTTTCTATTCTCCTGGGGAGATATTACATGTATATAAGAAAGGAAATGATGAAAATCATAGTGATAAGCATGAAGGAGAGATCTAGGCAAAGTCCTCTTGAAAAATTTGACTGATGAAAGAATACTTTTGGGGAAGAGGGAAGATTGGAAAAAAACTTTGGAGAAAGAGAAAATTCTGGAAGATGAGGGGGTGTTACAAGAATGTGGGGTCACCTGTATGAATGGAGGTGGCATTTTAAATTTGGGAAAACAGCTGAAACAGAAAGTACCCGAAAAAAAGGAGGGAAGGGAGGAGTGCTGTGAAATAAAGCTGAAAAAGTAGATGGGAGCTATATTGTGAAAGGTTGTCAGTGCTAGGCTAAGGAATTTGCATTTTATTCTATAATAAATAAAATAAGGAATCACCGAGATTTTTGAGTGGGAGAGTGATCAAAAGTATGCATTGGAGGAAGTTAATTTTGATAGCTGGGTCGAGGGTGTATTGGAGAGGTAAGCTACATATAAAACTTGCTTATAATTAGGAATGCTGTTGCTTAGTGATGTTTCAATTTGCATTCATTATCATGGTTATTGTAACACTTACTTAAACTTTATTTTTCTAATATGTTTCATTTAGAGAAAAAGAACTAGAACTCAGTGTTGCAGCTACTGGAGAAATTGACCCTGAGAAATCGGTGAGGATTTGTGGTATCATTATGTTTAACTTTTTACTTAAATGGACCTTTTTCTATGAAAAGTATAACCGTAAATGCTTTAAATAATATTTAGTGAGGAAAATAGGGGAGGAAAAAAAATCATAAAAACACGGAATCTTAAGAAAGTATAAGATGTACCTTAGTAAACTCAGGTTTATAAGAATATGATGATATTTTTATAATAAAATAATAAGTACCCAGCCTGGGTTCATGTTGTATAAAACAAGACTAAAAAGTCAGTTGTTAGTAGTTCTTCATTTTCCTAAGAAAACATTTTCTTTTTCTTTTTTAGATCATGATTCTAATTTTAATACAAAATTATCTTTGCTTTTCTCAAATGCATTGTAATAGTGTACTAAAACAAATGTACCAAGGCAAAGTTATCTTAATGTACAACATAAGATAACAGTTTACCTACCAGATCTTGGTAACTTTCAGACTTGAATATTTTGTAAGGAAACTTTTCTCTTTTTGTAAGAAACTTTCTCTTTTCCTTTTGATAAACATATTTTAGTAAATGTTGTAAAAATTAAAATGATGTGAAAGTAACAATCTTATTTGTACTTCACTTTTGCAATTCTCATTATAAGCGGAATGGATTACTAACGTCATTGCAGCTAAGTAAAAAGGAGGTAATTATTTTTCTTATCTGAAATGCTATTTTTATCTAGTTGGATGTATAGTATTTATTTGCTGAAGGGAATATTTGGTCTTTTAATGCATGTTTTGTGATGTATCATAGTACATGATGACCAAAAGTATTTAAAAAAAAAAGAAAAAAGTAAGTTTATAAAAAGTTTAGGCCTAAAAAGAACAAAGCAACTTAAGATAAAATTATTTATATTGGTTAATTTTTGGTTGTGTGCAAATTATATGGGTTTTTTTTTCACATTTTTAATATTGCACTAGTTTTCCCTTGTCACCTAGCATGCTTTTGGGTGGCCTTTTCATGAAGCTAGCATATGTGTACTCAGAAAATGCAAAACTCATTTTAAATTTAGCCTGAATCATTATTAGAGAGCTAAATATGCTGCAGAAAGACATTATCAAATAAAAAAAATCAAGGATAAATATAAATTATTTGTGATCATCTGGGCTCTTTTCTTAGCACAGATATTTGGGATTTATCTCAATATCCAAAACTAAGTGCATTTTCGTAGGAAAGAGTACTATGGTAGGTTGAAATTTCTTTCTTCATATGCTTTTAAAATTATAGGCATCTCCTACCTTAAGATAGGTTATATTTAATATGTTCATATTTAGCCAGTTGTTTGGAATATGGAATATATTTCCCTCAAAAATTCAACATGCTAACATTTTAAAGCTAGAAGAGACTATAGAGATTATATATAAAGAAATAATGTTTGTAGATATTAGGGAGATTTGTAAGGTAACCCACAGAACCATATTTATTCCATATTATACCTGAAGTAGTGATTCTGATCCCCAAATTCCTTTAAAGCTTCTGAACCCCAAGTTCTTATGAGCATCCTTCACATCTAGTATGATCTTTGAGCCTCTTTGTACTCCTGAGGGAGATGCACAAAATGAGAGATAAGGGCATTGTTGAAGGCCAAGCCATTCTTACCTTTTAGAGATGATTTTTAGTATTAGTCGAGAAGGGCATTGGTTCTTGAAGCAGAGATGGTGACAAGGTGGCACTAGCCATTTGTATCTGAGTTATTGACAGCTTTGGTGTCATTGGTTTTTGAGACTATTTGCTATAAAGAAAGTTTTTGAAACCAATTTATTATAGGTATATATGTGTATATATACATAACAGGATGAAGTTTGCGGTTGGCATAGCAATTTGCTTACATATTAGGTTGTTTTGGGGTTTGAGGATCTTTACACTTTTTCCTGTTTGAATAAAACCCAGATAGTTTTGAATTAAATAGGGAGAGTGAACATAAGACATTTTGCTAATGTTTAAATAACATTGATGTGAGTGAGACACTCTTAAAAGGGATATACAATTAATAATAATAATAATAATAGCTAACATTTAAATAGCCTTCATAGTTTACATAGCCCTTTTCTCACAACAGCCCTAGGATGTAGGTGATGCAAGTGTTATTATTTTTGTTGTCGTTCAGTTGTTTTTCAATTGTGTCCGACTCTTTGTGACCCCATTCAGGGTTTTCTTGGCAAGAATACCGGAGTGGTTTGCCATTTCCTTCTTGAGCTCATTTTTCAGATGTGGAAACTGAGACAAAAGAGTTAAGTGACTTGCTCAGGGTCACACAGTTTGGAAATGTCTGAGGCCAGATTTGAACTCAGGAAGATGAGTCTTCCAGACTCCAGGCCTAGTGCCACATAGCTGCCCCCATTATTTTGCAGATGAAGAAACGTAGGTTTAGAGAAGGTAAGTGATGTATCTGCCTGAGGTGAAAAGGCTAGTCATGGCAGAAATATCTAGCCCATGGCTTCTGATGTCACATCCAGGCTAGGTGTTGTGAGAAAAGCCCTCTGTAAACCTTAAAGCACTATACAACTATAAGCTTTTGATGCTAATATTCTGATGCCCAGGGAAGTATGCTTCTTTTGACCCTCCCTCCCTCCCCAGTATCCCAGGCTTCTTCTGCTGTGCTGCCATGGAATCAACCATGGTGACTGTGTGGAGAGAAATATGACTCTTACAAGAAGGAGCCTTGGCTTCTACATCCTTCTTTTGTACTTTTTTTTTTTTTGGTTAGGTCTTTTCATTCACTTGGTCCTTGTGGACCTTAGTTTTCTCATCTGTAAAGTGACGAAGTGACACTTTACTTGACTGAAGGACTTTTGGGTTATTTAATTATTATATTATTAGGGTTAGGGATGATTACCTCTTGAAACCCCTTCCAGTCATTAGCATCAGTGAATTTACAGAATAATCATTTATTTTTCTTTTTTTTAGCCTGATAGACTAAAGCAGTTAGGTATGAGCCCAAGATGTTATGAAAAGAAGTTTTCACTTTTGGAAGAGAAGATTCCACCGGAAAGGCCCAAAGTAGCTTTCCAGACACCTCTTCCCACCTTATCTGACCTGCCTAGGCCATCTTTAAGTGAAGACTTTAACCAAGGGATCAACACTACCCTTGGTGAAATGATGTCATCCAGGTGCTTGTTTATAATGTTTTTCTTTTTAGGAATTAGGTAAGCTATTGTTTTTGACATTTAGATGAATTTGTGAATTTAATCATGAAGAAAATGCTCTCCTTAGAGAATTGTCAAATTATTTTGAATGATTTCTTCAATTATAACATTTGATTTTATTATCTTTAGTTCCTGACTTTGTGAAACCAAGAAAAATTATTGAACGTTTTTTATCCCTTTCAGATGAATGTTAATTACTTTAAAATTTGTTTTAGGTTTTAATTTAGAGTGATCATTCTTTGTAATATCCCTTTGAAAATATGTAAACTATATTGTGTTGCTGGTTTTGGAAATTTCCACTTGGCAAACATTGAATTCTTCCTTTAATTTCTTATGAAAAGAAAAATCCAGTGTGACTTTGTCTTTTATATGTGAATCATTCTGACTGGTGTCTTTCTTTAGCTACTTTTCTATGGCAAGTTAGGCCTTAGAAAGCTTGAATGCCTAAGATAGGCCTTAACTATCATAATAAATTTTCAGACTGTAGATCCAGTATAAGTTGTATATTATACTAAGGCTTAAAGAATTAATGGTATTCATTACTTGAGATCCATAAATGTAAGGTATGCATCCTTCTTGTGCTTTCTATTCCTGTGGTCTGTACTATAATTATTCATCTTACTGTCACTATTCTGTTCATAAAGTATTTTTTTCTCCATTTCAAAGATGCTGCTGTTAACATCGATATTTCCTGTGCTGTACTACCTATTGTCAGATTTTATGTCTGTTAATGACAGGTTGGATAACAACATTGATATGTAGTTTATAAAGTTAAATACAGTTCATAAAGTTCCAAAGAGGTAAGAGAGATGAGGATTATTCATTGCCTCAAATGTTCAGCTGTCTTGCTGCATTGCAGATACTTGGTTGAAAAGGCAGGACAAAAGGAAAGGAGATTAGATGACCAGTGAAATGTGTAAAAGACACATTTTTGTTCCTTCAAAATAATTTTGAAGTAAGCAACTTGGGAGAGTCAGCTAGGCTGTACCAGAAAAGGATTTCTGAGGAAGCAAAGTAAATGGATGTTTTTTTCCCTTTTCTTTTGGAAAACTTCTTAAGGAATTCCACTGTTGGAATTATTGAAGTTATAGAAATCTAGAGAAAAGCTCATTGTTGAATAGAGGAAGTATGAGACATCCTACTTCAGTGTTCCCAAAGATCTTAAATACAGGCTGTTCCAAAAATCTTAGTGAAGTGTAAGTAAAGCTTAAAACTTCACCAAGATGTTTAGGACATCCTGTATCTTAAATACCTTGATTATGTCAAAACATCCCCACCTCTATCCCCCCTACCCCCCCTTTTTTTTCCTTTGTGGTTTCAATACCTTGGAAAGTGAGTTTTCCTATTTGTAGATCTAGGTGAAGGTTGGGAGAGCAAGTAAATAACCTCGCTTGATCTTTCTTTGGATTTTGGTTGGAATTGGTCCGTACATCTCCTCCACTTAAAAAAGGAGAATACATTAATATTCCATTGCAGATAACAGATATATTCCTAAAAAGTTATATATCAATAAAATTTTAAGAAATTGAATAATTTCATACTCCCACTAGGATAACTTCTTATTTGAGAACACTTTTGTAAAGCAGAATCTCCTTAAGTAAGGTTAATAATTTCCTGCAAATCTGTATTTGTATTTGTGTTCATGACTAAACAGTTTTTGTATATATTTGTATGTATATGCATATATTTTTATGTATGTATATATATGTGTATGTGTATGCATATGTATATATGTACACACACACACACAATATATGCTTATAGACTCTGTGTGTATATTTTTATGTTTCTTTGGATTTAGACTCCACTGTGTAAGTTCATGAGTACATTTGTGAACATGCCATATGTGTGTGTAATACATCTGTGTGAAGGAAATGGAGGACTACATGAGTGTAGAAAGATATACCTGGCTAGAGATGGGTCCCAAGAGTGACCACATTCTCATTCCTCTATAAAGAGCTACCCTAAGAATTGGGAGTAAAGATTCTATACTTCTATACCACTGACTCTTCCTTCAAGTCAGAGTTTTCATTTTTTTCTATAAAACAGTGATGGTGACTTCCTTCCAAATGGTATATGATAGATGATAAAATATCATTGGCACCACTTACTTGTTAGTGGGGAGGAGCATTGGACATTATATGTGTGGGAGAGGGGCTACTAGGGTATGGGTATATATGTGGGTGAATGATAGGCACATGGAGAGGAGCTGTATGTAGGAAGATATCTGGAAGTAACATGGTTGTATACCTGTGAGAGAGCTGTAGATATAAGAAAAGTATGTGTGGGGACTTGGAGGGATGTATGGATGGTAGACATATGGAGATGTATGTGTGGGACCTGGGGAGATGGATACATCAGGGGGTATATGTCTCAACTTATGAGTAGAACTTATGTGGGAAATAAGGGTGCAGTGTGTATTTGGGAGGGACTTGGCAACAAGGAACGATATGTGTGCCAAGAGGACTTGTAGGGGAAATGTTCCTGTGTGGGGATGCATATGGACATACAGATGCACAAATATCTGTGGTTAGGTGTGTGTGTACACACACACACACACACACACACATATTTATATATGGAAATGTGTGTGGGATGTATGTGAGTCTATGTCTATGAGTAGGTGTGTATGTGTACATGAGGATGTACTTGTGGGTATGCATCTGAATAAGAATGTGTTTGGAAGGCTCCTGGTACCATGAAAAGGGGAGTGAGTAGGAGTAGTATGGAAAAATGTCAAATGAGTTTTCCTTCTTTTACAAATTCCTCCTTTCCCTTTACCAGTTCTTTCTTTTTTCTTCTTTCTCATACCTTCTCTATTTTCCTCCTCTCTCATCCCTCCCTGTGTTATACTCCCTTTTTCTTTCACCTCATTTTCTGTACCCTCAAGCTTTCTCCCTCTTGCCTTAATTTTTTCTTTTCTCTTCCATTTGTGGTAGAAGGAACTTGGAGATGGAGGGCAAAGGAGAAGTGGTGATGGGGTCCTGGGATGGCATCAGAACACTATTGACACCTAATATTGAATCTTGGAGTGCATTGGTGGTAGGGGACAGGGTTTTCTTTCCCACTCCCACCCCCACCCAATTTCTTTCCTTTTTTTCTTAATCTTTCTCTCTCACTACTGCTGCCATTATGAATGGCTTTTTATCATACATGATTTAAAACTGGTGATTTTTTCTTCTTTGTTTTGAAGACAGTGTTCAAGTTATTTAAAGCTCTCATATATGAAAGTTCTATAAATCTTGTTTTTTGATAAGAAGTCGCAAATTTCTTTTGTTTAGCCCAAAGTTAAATTAAGACTAGTTGTTATGCTTTACAGGTGGTTTTTTTGTTTTTGTTTTTAATTAAGAGCATTGCTTTATTTTGGATGCATAAAAACATTTACTAAGAGGCTTGGTAACAGGCCTATTTTAGAAGAAGGGGTAAACTTTCTACTTTCAACCAAATGTGTTTTATTTTTTTTTTATATTTTTTATTTTTATTTTTCAAATGTGTTTTAAAAGGAAATTAATTCATCACTTTCTTTATGGGTTCACAAATTTAGAAGTGGAAGGGACCTTAGTGACATAGCAGAAATCCTGTTCTCTTGAATCTAAGAGTAAAGCATTAAAAAAAAAGAAACTATGCATTTGGATCATTACTAAATTCTTCTAAATTACTTCTTATATCAACATATGCCTGAAATGAGGGGATTTAATTTCTTATTCCAATTACACTTAAATCTGTATTATATGAGGACACATTATAGCAAATATTGGATTTGTAACAATAAAATTCTGCTATATGGGGCCTTTTTAATCTTAATTTCTGTTAGCTATACAGTGAAATATGAAATGGATTTTCTGACTTTATTTTGATATAGGATTACATCACTACCTCCACCCCTAGCCCCTCCACCTGCACCGTCTTTGCTCAACTATCGAACTCCTTATGATGAAGCATATTATTTTTATGGGGCCAGGAATCCTTTGGATCCCAGTCTTGTATATTGTAAGTTAATGCTTCAGTAAGTATATTACCTATTAGTTCAGAAAGGAAACTTGGTTTCTTGGTGGAAAATATGACAAGATAGATTTCTAAAATTTTTGAATAAGAAAAGTAATACAATGCATTTTGTATTATCTTGTTAGCTTTTTTTAAAAAAATGTTATTTTGAAATCCACAGTGATGCATAGTACAAATCACTGCTTTAGCACCTTTTAAGTTGTTTTTAGAAAATGTGATGTATTTTTTTTTTCTTTTTGAATTGGTAAAGCAGAACAATATGATTAAAATTTTTTGTAGTTCTTTGGTCATTTTTTTTTGTTGGTGATTTTTTTCATATGCCTTTGCTCTAGGTGCTCTTAATTTTTTTTTTGTTTGTTTTATAGATATCTCAGATTGACTACATATTTTCTTATTTTGTCTAGATAACCCAGGAATGATGGGAATACCTCCACCAACCTTTGCTAGTGCCCCTGATGCTTGTGAACCAGTGGGACCCATTATGTAAGTCTATATAACATAATTTTGGGAGGGATTTTAAGTACATTAACCCTTTCTAAATCAACTACTTTCTACTGTAGAGTCTTAGTGTGTGTATGTGTGTTTGTGTGTGTATGTATGTATATATGTGTGTGTATGTGTTTGTTGACTATTATTTATATATTTGAACGTTCTTTAATAGATCTGTGTTGAGAACACTGTCTAATGTTCCAGATATCAACCTATTCACACGTTCCCATCCTATGGCATTCCTGTCTCTTTAATTCACTTGAGTAACTGGTCTGCCTACTGGACACTGTTCTTTTATTTAGTGTCATCTCAGATTGTATTATTTATTTTAGCAACCTAAAAAAAAAGTCAGCTATTAGATCATTGTTTCATGTCAAGCCTGTGATTAGGTGAAGACTGTTAGATCTTTCTCATTTATGCGTTGATAAATCAAGTAATCACCAATTTTTAACAAATGATTTTTTTAACCTAAATTAAATGCTTTCTACTTAGCCTTTTTATCCTGAATACCATTTTACATAGTTTTGCCCTAGCATTCCATCCTGTCAAAATTAATTTTAATATGAGTATGTCAGTTTGATTTGAGGTCTCTTCAAGAAAACTGAATTAGAGCAAAGAAAATCAGTGGTCCTTTTCCACTCTAGGGTTGCTTTTATTTAGAATACTAGAAACAGTGCAACTAATCCACTTACCTGTATGCTGCTGCCAGAAAGCCACTGATAAGTTTTATTTTTTTACGCTTTTTTCTGTATGCTCCATACCAGTACTGTTCTACTTGTTTGCATTTGTCCTTTGAGTATCATTTGCTTCATAATATGTTGTAGTTCAGAAGATTGTGTCATATTTTAATAAAGTTGCTTTCTGATGATATCTGGAGAAGCTCCTTGGTATCATAATAAACTGTCTTGAAATTGAAGTATGGCGTGGGTTCAACTATTTGCATCCATCTTGTTGATTGTTATTTGCCTATTTTGATAGTAGCCTTAGATTGTTTTATTTTGGGGGCCTTTATCCACTGATTACATTAGAATTATGAAGAAAAAGTGCTTTCACACTTTTTTTCCCCTCCTGGTCACTAGGCAGGCAGCTAGGTGACCTAGTACAGTGCTGGACCTTGAGGTAAGAAGAGCAGAGGTCAAATCTGGCCCCTTGAGGAAGTCAGTTAATATCCATCTGTCTCACTCTCCTCATCTCTAAAATGGAGATAATAATAGCACTTAACTTTCAGGGTTGTTATGAAGTTAAAATGAGATAATATTTGTAAAGAGCTTTGCAAACTTTAAAGCAGTCTATAAATGCCAGCTGTTATTGTTATTGTCAATAGGAGGTTCAGAGAGGTTTGAAGAGAAAGGTGAGATAGCTAACGGTGCTTTTCTTTGAATTTTTCTTTCCCTTTTGTAATTTTAAATAATTACATATTTTTCTTTGAATTGATTTAGGCTTTCTTTAGGAATATGTTTCATCATTAAAATTTCTCATTGATTTTAGTTTTTTAACTAAAATTTAAGTTTTTTAAAATGAGGGAATATTCAAAACTTAGTAAATAGAAGAGTAATGTGATGTTATATACGTGTATGTCTTCCTTGTGTAAGAGATATGTTCCTGAAAAAGTTTACGTAAATTGAATTTTTGTAGATAAAGTGATATTTTAAATACATCAAGAAGTCTAACAACTTAATGTTTGGAATTATTGTATAAAGTGAAGAGTCTGTTTGTTTGGTAAATAATAACTCCCTAATTTGTCCTTTTTAAGTTTGGTTTTTTAAATGGCAGGTTTGCTTTAAGTTGCAAGGATCACGTGTTCTGTAATTTGCAATGTTTAAGCCACAGAACATTTTGTTGTTCAAGGGTTATATGTATTACATTTTTTTCTCTTGCTACGTTTTAAATTTTATATTTGTTCAGGAATCTTCTGTTCATTTTGAACTGGCCTACTTACCGTTTTGATATTCTTTTTTACTGTACTAAAATTGAGTCTAAATATGTTTACATATTAGGTCTTATTATTTTAGGCCTTTTGTAAGTTATTTCTTTTGTTGTCATCCTGAGGTTTTTTTTGAGATTGTATCTTTGATGTGTAGTCTACCATTCACCACCTCAAAGTCATCCCATTTTAGCTTAGCATAGATTCCATGTTATTTCAACAAACTATTTTGTTTTAATTTTCTAAATACATTTCACATTATTAATTATGTATTTCAAACAGGAACAAAAATATTTTGAATGAACTGAGCACTGTGAGTGATAGGACAAGAACAGGAGGACTCATTTTTGAAGATAAACCAAGGGCTACCAAGGAATCAGTTCAATCTTATCAATATGATTTGCAGCAACAGGTATAAAATAGGATAACTATTTCAATGTACACATGGGGGAATTATTTGGGAGAATGGAATCAATTCATCTTTATTCTAAAACTCTGCTTGATTGTCAGCATTGTGTATTTGCCAAGAATTCTCTAAGTGTTTTTGACTTAACTATTTCCAGTCTTTAGGCAAACTAGACTTTACAATTGCTGAAGTTTGTTTCATGTAAGACTTGTGTTTAACAAAATGCTTTATTTAGGAGAAAATGATTTTTAAAATAAAGAATAGTTAAAAATTCAGTCATAGTCCAAATGGTAAACCAGTTTAGACAGTCTTTCTAATTACGTAATAATAGCAAAATTAAGGATCTTAACCTTATAAACTAGGTTGCCCATTTTTAAATACACGAGATGAATTGATGCTAAGCATAGTACTTCCTATCAGAAAACAGCATGTTTAAAATGTACATGAGTATCTTACCCAGTGCCCATTCTACCCATTGGTTTCACAAAAATACAACTTTAGTTGAATCATTGTGGCTGAGGGCAGAGGACTGCTGAGACTATATATGAAGGGGGCAGGATTATTTGAATGGCATCAGAGGGGTTCTTGAGGTTTTGTTCTGCCAAATAGCAGAATTGGGGGAAGGAAAACATTAGGGAGGAGGAGAAATCTGGCACAGATCAGAGCATTTAATGATATCCTGGAAGGAAAAATTCAAAGAAGAGCTGACTTTACCTAACAAAATGATCTATCTCCTGATTTAAAATCTGTTTTAGTGAGAAATTTTAGATCGTTGGACATAATTTCTCAGTATTGTTTGTTAAGTGTTTTACATTTCCCTTTGCTATTTAGCAGTCTAACCAGAGAACACAGACCTTATCTTAGAACCATTCTTGAGAAGGGTGAATCTCTGGCGATTGGCTGAAGGATGTCCTAGCAGGACTTACTTTAGGGTGGAGCTTGGTTATAATTTATTAACAGTATTATTGTACATTGAAACTGGTCAGAGCAGCTTTGTATGGAGTATTTATCTTGAAGGCTGCTTTTAAAAAATAATATACTTAAGTTATTTTAAAATATTATGGTAGATCATACCCATTCATGTTTACTAGGACATGAAACTATGAATAGTTGAAAATCTGTATTATTTGTTTCTTCAAATCTCTGAGCTAGGCTGTTGTGTAGCTCAGGTCCTGGACTTCATTTACTCTTTATTCATTTCCATCAGCCCTTGATGGACTCTTTGCTTTTGAGGCTACTACTCCCTGGGTCAGCTCAGTTTGACCACCCCAGCCAAAGGGCTTGATGCTGGTTTGGCCAGTGTCCATAAGAAATATTAGGGTGGGCAGCCGAGATCAAGGCATGGTCTTAGAGATAGAGGCCATAGGAATAAGGTAATGCAGTGGGTTGGGAGAGTAGCAACAAGCTTGGGGTATTGAAGCCAGAAGCTGCCAGGAGGAGCAGGGAAATGAAAGTTGGAGTAGTACGGACCCAGGAATGAAGTAAGAACCTTTGATATTTTACCTTTATTGAAGTATTGTATAGCTCACCTCCAAGATTTGATTTGTTAGGAGTGAAATAAATGCAGTTCTACTTACAATATTTTTTATATTAATATTGGACTTGAATATTGTAACACATTTAGAAGTGGCTATTTAGTATTTAGCTCTTGTTTATTTTTATATGGTCTCTTAAAAATTTACTTTCCACAAGTGAAAAACTCTAGCTATAGTTTATCCACCTTCATGTATCCATTTAGACATTTATTCTTTTCTTTTTTTTTCTTTTCTTGTTTTCTAGCAAGGCAGTGGGGTTAAGTGACTTGCCCAGGGTCACACAGCTAGTAAGCATCAAGTGTTTCAGGCCAGATTTGAACGCAGGCCCTCCTGACTCCAGGGCTGGTGCTCTATGCACTGTCCACCTAGCTGCTCCTAGACATTTATTCTTGAATGTAGTGGTTCCAGGATTCATTTGTATGTATGCTTTCTCAGAGCTATCTAATTATATAGAGAATCCTATGTAGATATATAGGCAGTCTCTAACTCAGATCAGTTTGTGTTCCTAAAGTTTCTTTTAAAAAAATTATGCTGAGGGGCAGGTAGGTGGCGCAGTGAATAGAGCTCTGGCCTTGGAGTCAGGAGGACCTGAGTTCAGATTCTCTTAACATGTATTAGTTGTTTGACCCTGGGCAAGTCACTTAATCCCAATTGCCTCACCAAAAAAAAGCAAAAATATTATGCTGAATTTATTAAATACTTTTAAAAAATAGAGTATTTCCATATATAAAATATAACCAAAAAAGAGGATAAATATGTGAAGCTATCAATTTCTGTTATACACAAGCTTGATTTTTAAAAAACAGCATATAATAAATTAAACATGTTACTTTCAAAGCTGTCCTGCATGCTTTTATTTTCCTCTGAACGCCTTCCTGTTCCCTTCTGTGCATTTTTAAAGATAACTCAAGTGACTCTGCCCTTCTTCTTTTTTTGGCAGTACTGTTCCTAGCTTGTTTTCCTTTTCTTCCTCTTCCTCCTTCCCCCTAACCCTCTCAGTTTAAAAGGCAGAAAACACAATCCTTGTAACAAATAAACATAATCAAGGAAAACAAACCCACAGACTTGTCAAGTCTAAAACTGTATGTCTTTTTCTGTACCTTGGGTATAATGCTGTAGAAATGATGGTCATTTGAGTCTCCAGATAGCCTACAAATAGCCTTTCTTAATTGATAAGGTATCTGAAATAGTACCAGTAGTAGCTTTGAGTCCCCAACTCCTCTGATTTCTGAACCTGTTTCCAAGCTTGGGGTCTCTTTGGAGTCCTGAATTGGAAGGAACTCCAGGAGTCGTGTAGAGGTAAAGGATCTAGGAACTACTCAGCTTCCAAGGCAGTGCAGTTGTAGGAGGCTCGACAGGAGTACCAGGAGTTTTCACAGAACTATCCCAGGAGGAATATACAAGGTATAGTAGGTAGTCTATTGCAATTAAGGAGGATGTCCTAGATGGGAAATGATTATCATTGGTGGTAGAGAAATGAATGACAGCATGATGAATTTTTGTGAATTGGTAACTATATTTGTGAATTGAATACTTCTTACAAAGAAAAAACTAGGGCTTTTTTTTTCAGTGATTTGGAAAAGAGGAGTAAAATTAATAATGGTATCATTAATTTTGATTGTGTCAGATTGGCAGTACAGCATTGTAAATTGTTTCTTATTGTGTTGAGATACGGGAAAGAGAAGCAAGACGGAGGAAAGAGCGAGAGGAAAAAGAAGAATATGAAGCTAAACTTGAAGCTGAAATGAGAAGTTACAATCCCTGGGGAAAAGGTGGAGGGGGTGCTCCACTCAGAGATGCCAGAGGAAACCTGATAAGTATGTTGGCTTTCTTGTTTCTTTTCTCCTGGAAAAAAGTGTGATTCTTTCTACTCTTAACTTTGGGAGAGAGTTAAGAGGAAGGGCACATTATTCTGAACTGATCCTCTTTCATTAAGTAAATACATTTTATTGCCATTCTTACGTTCTCATTTTTAGGATAGAAGGGTAATACTACTGAACTGTAAAACAGTCATTATGTTATTAAAGTAGAAACTTCCAATTAATTTTAAAATTAAATTTTTATGCGGACTGGTAGGTAAATTAAAATGATTGGATTTATTAGAAATTTGCCTCATTTTATTTCAGAATGTTAGTTTTTTTGGGATCCTAGTCTTAATAAGTCTTTGGTATAGTAATGCGTATTACACGGCGTGGTAGTGAAACTGAAATTGTCTAGGGTAAAAAATGTTTTCATATAATGTAGAAAGTTGGCTTAAAGTATTCTATTTTAGTCCTTAACATGAAATGAAAAGTTAAGACAATCTGATTACTTTAGCCTTAAATCAAACAAGATAAAATCTAGAGGGAAAGTCGAGTAATATTGGAAATGTAAGAAGGGAGGAATACTAAAACCATTAGAAAGTACCTGTTAAAGTAAATGAGAAACATGTTAATCTTAATTTGCCTGTTATCCCTTAGTTAGTATAATAAGCCTAAGGGGGCAGGCTATAATTTGAGAATTTTTTGTGAGTATTACTGATTTTATAAGTCAAGGATGGTAGTTACTTGAAGTTACCTTAGAGTTGTTTCAGTCCTGAATAATAAAGAATGTTAGCTTATTTCTTGTTTTGATTTATATTAATGATGGCTTATTTATTTTTTTAAAGTGATAGTTTCCAAAATTGGTATAATAACTCACCTTCTCCTAAGGTTTCCTGTTAGATCATCACCTTGTGCATGTTTTAGAAATTTGGAATTCCTGGTCTAGAATAGCATTTTAGAACTTTTTTAGCCCTCTTGTTAGTTAATATATAATGCAGGTAGTAGGATAAAATATACTTTATGCACTTGATAGAAATGGTTGGGAAATTTGAGGATTATGGTACACATTATAGTTCTTATAAGCTGCTGGCCACATTGGTATACATAATATTTAATAGTAAAATGTTAAAAATCCAAGAGTAAATAATTTTCATTTCTAACATTAGCAAGTATTTTATTACCTCAAAAACTGTGGACAATGTTGATCTAGGTCCTTTGGGTGAATTCAGAGGGTTGGAGAGGTAACTGGGCTACCTCATCCCCAGTGTTTATCAGCAAATGCTTTACAAATCAAGTTATGTGGCAAAAATTACCTTTTTTCCACTAAAAAGTGACAGTAAAACCCAATTCGTAAATCATGTGTATGTTCTACCCAGTGGATTGGTTGAAGGGTTTGTATTTACAGTTGGCTGGATTTTGGATGAAATGGGAGTGTGAATGCTCCCAATACCTGCTTGAGCACTTGCAGCTGAAGGGAGGGCTCCTTTCTGTTGCTCTATCAGCCTTTTGCAAGCTAATCCAAGGACCAGGATCTGTATAAAGCTTGCAGGATGAATATTCATTTGTTTATTTTGAGTTAATTTTTTTTTCAATTAACGTACATTTATTTTCCCTCCCTACTGGAGAGTAACAGCCTTGTAACAAATATGCATAATTAAGCAAAAGAAATTCCCTTAATGGTCATGTTCAAAAATGTATTGACCCTGCATGACCTTGAGTGTTAGCTGGGGGTGAATAGAATGATGGCAAAACCTTTTGTAGAAGTTATTAAAAAAGAAAAAAAAAACTGTTGAATGTTTAGCTTGCAAATTTATTAGACTGTAAATAGTTAATGTTTCAAAGAAATTCATTAATTTTTTTTTCTTTCAGAGGGGATTTTTCCTTGATCAATTGCCATACACAATTGCTTGTACATTTCCATTTCTCCTCTGAGACCACAGAGGGTTCTCTCCTGACTAGACACCAGTTCTTCCACATATTGATATCTCAGCTTCTTTCTGGCCATACATTCTCTTGCACTTTGTGGGCTTCTCTCAAACTTTGCCTTCAAGTCAGTTTTGGCTGGCTTCTAACCATGTTTACCTGGTTTCTTTACTTTGCCTCCAACTACCTTGCTGTCATCTATGTCTGCAGGCTGGCAGGCCAGGCCTCACAGCCTTGCCTGCCTGGCTGGCTGTGCCCCCAGGGAAGAACAGAGATTTATTTTTTCATTGTGTCCTCAGGTTTAGCCTCTAGCGCTCTCAGATCATGAGGTCCCATGGAGGACCGTTCAGAAATGAGCAGGGGAGCCCCAGGAACGGCCCCAAACCTCTCCTTCCACCTCCGTGGCCTCCACCTCCACCATGACAGTCTCTCCCATTGAAATCCATTAATTTTCATCTATCTATCTATCTATCTATCTATCTATCTATCTATCTATCTATCTATCTATCTATCTATCTATCTAT